AAACATTTGATGGAAACTCACACTCTCTTTCAAACTCAAGTCTTGTGGATGTAACAAATGCCACGTGTGAAACACACAATTCCACGTGTCATTCATTGGTAGGCCAACTGAGATCGCGCGCTCTATTCCAACTTCTCTTATCCCACACAAACTTCTTACCAAAAATTTTCTTTCATTCCCCCTTGTTTTTTTGGGGGCTTGTTTTACAAAAAATTAATTTTTTTTAATTAAAAAAACGCCATGAATGCTGTTGCTACTGCTTCTGCTCTTTCTCTTCCTATTTCTCTTAGTCGACCTTCTAAATTTAATCCTAGAAAGGTATGTTTTATTGTATTTTTTGATATCGGGTTTGCTATATGTAGCTCTAAGGGCTAAGTATTATGTTAAGTTATAAAATAACGTGTCAATTGGTATTATTTATATTTAGTATTAGTGTTTAAGAATTTATGATAAAATTACGTGTTGGTTTTTATTTTAATTAGTGTATTGGGTTGTTTAGTTGATTATATATTATAGTGAAATTTGATCATGTTGAAGTGTCAACTTGTTGGGTTGTTTTCTTTGATGGTTTAAATGTATTAAAAATGTGATCTTTAGCATTTAGATGTACTGAATGTTTATGGAGAAGTGTATTTAGTTAAAGGGAGTTGTGAAATTTTGGATTACATTTGTGGTTTTTTGGCCTAGAAATTTGTGTGATGTGGACTTACCCAAGTTTTTTTGAATGTTGGGAAGATCATTTGCTAATTAATTAGCTGTTCTATGCAATAGTTTAATGGTTGCGTGTAGGACACTCACCCAAGGTTTCAAGAAGTTGATAATTTAATTTTAATGTTGTTGAATCACTTGAATGGGTGCTCCATTTTGAGAGAGGGCAAGATTGATAATACTATTGTTATATTTATGATTAAGGGTGTTTCTATCTTGGTTAATCTAGAGTAATTTACCAATTATGAAGATAATCGATGTTGCTCGAATTTGGGGATGAAGATTGGGTATTTGGATGGAATTATTGAAGGTTATAACTAGAATATTTGATTGTGTGAGACTATAGAAGAGCCATTTTGTAAGTGATTGACCTAGGGTTAGAGTGACTTAGTATCTTATCCAAGCTATATTAGGTTAAGCTTCCGCGAGGGTAAGGTTTAAATTCCTATAGGATTGAGATGGTGCATCACAAATTTTATGTTTTTGTTGATTGTTCAGTCATAGCTATAGTGATTTGACAAAGCGAGAAGAGGTGAGACATAGAATGAGACACCAAACAGGATAGATGATCCCTGTTGGTCCTATGTGATGTACTGTCAAAATTTAAAGAAAATAATATTGACCTTTGCTTTGTAAATGTTATAGTATTATTATTTTGTAGTGTGGATTAACAGATAACTCCTAGTCACTGTAAAGTGTAAAAGAATGTGGGAAAAGAATTAGAATTGTTATACTTGATTTTTTTTCTATTTGCTAATAGCTTGGAAAATAATCCAGGTAAAAGGCAGTATTGGAGTGTTTGCTGTTTTTGGAGAAGATGGAGGGTCCATAGACAAGAAGAGCACATGGGGGACGCTCTTTAATGTGGAGGATCCAAGATCAAAAGCCCCATTGTATAAAGGAAAAATATTGGATGTAAATCAAGCCTTGGAAGTGGCAAGATTTGATATCCAATACTTGGATTGGAGAGCTAGACAGGACGTTCTTACAATAATGCTCTTACACGAAAAGGTCCGTGATTCCCTGCATTGATGCTCTGTACTTATATAATACGATTAAGCTTGTAAGAGAATGTTTTTGATCTTCATCATCAATAGAAGGGTGAAAGAAAAAGAACTTGAGAAGATATTTTGTTCGCTGACTATTGCTTAAGATGATAAAAAAGATGGCTGTCATTGTAAAGTGATTGTGTACTTTTACCATGACCATTGTACCTTTTTACCTATGCAATAATTAGATAAAAGATTAATCAGTATTATAAACAAAAACAATCTGACAGTTCTTTTCTCCTTTATATCACCCTAATTCCACACCGTGACATTTCATTCATACTTGTATGTGTATATCGAAAGGATCATGAATATGCTTGCGTACCTCTTTGTACCCTTGATTAATTTATGGCTACTTGTTACTATTAGAAAGATAAGAATTTGAGAAAGTACCGTGAGCCTTTAGATATAGCTAATTACGGTCATTGCAGGAAAATTCCACTTGTGGGTTTTCAAATTCTGTAGACTGTAGTTGCTTGTTTATTTGTGATTTTCTTTACATCCCTAAAATTATTGACAAATGAACTTACTTTAGTGATGTATGAGTTAAAATCTGTGTTCATCTGTGTTAATTTTGAGTCTGAATTTCTCACTTCCAGATACTTTTGAATTTAGGTCGTGGAGGTATTAAACCCTCTTGCCCGTGAATACAAGTCTGTTGGCACATTGAGAAAGGAGCTAGATGGTTTACAGGAAGAGCTTGCACAGGCTCATAAACAGGTAAAGTGTTTGTTACATACTTTGTATGACACTAGGTACTTGTGTTTCATTTTCAAAAATTCTGGACTTTACAGCCTCAAGCAATTTCTGAGGCAAGTGAAAGATGAGTTCCTAATACTTGCCATTTATTTGTTTTCCATATGTGTTGATAATGACAGGTTCACATTTCTGAAGCGCGGGTTTCAGCAGCTTTAGATAAACTAGCTTACATGGAGGAATTGGTTAATGATAGGTTGTTACAAGACAGAACAACAACTGAAACCAATCAGACAGATGCTTCATCAAGTACCTCCACACTACCCATGGAAACCACTAAGAGGAAGCTGCCTCGTAAGAATATAGATGTATCAGGTCCTGTCAAATCTTATCATCCTAGATTGAAGAATTTCTGGTACCCTGTTGCCTTTTCTGCAGACTTGAAGGAAGACACTATGGTAAGCTATTGACAGCTTATATAATCACTGCATTTTGTCTTCTCTTAATTATGCTTGTGAAAGGTATACAAAGTGACTTGGAATTCCCCCATTTCAGATCCCAATGGAATGCTTTGAAGAACCTTGGGTCATTTTCCGTGGGAAAGATGGAAAACCTGGGTGTGTTAAGAACACTTGTGCACATAGAGCTTGCCCTCTTGATCTTGGCTCTGTGAATGAGGGTCGCATTCAATGTCCTTATCATGGTAAGAATGCCTAGTAAAGGTGAAAGAACCTTTTAAAGTACTAATGACATGGGGAAAGAAAAACTTGTTTTATGCTAATTTGCGCAATGGTGGATGTATTCCAGGATGGGAATACTCAACAGATGGAAAATGCCAGAAAATGCCATCTACAAAATTATTGGATGTTAGGATAAAGTCTTTGCCTTGCTTTGAGCAGGAGGGGATGATTTGGATTTGGCCAGGCAGTGACCCTCCTGCTGCCAACCTTCCTTCACTTTTACCTCCTGAAGGATTTGTAATTCATGCAGAGGTATAATATTCCTATATTAGTAGTGTGAAAAATTGAAACAAATTATATCTGGGGCATTTTTTAATATGTTCATGTTGAAGTATGCAGATAGTAATGGAACTTCCAGTTGAACATGGGCTACTTTTGGATAATCTTCTCGACCTTGCACATGCTCCTTTCACTCATACTTCCACATTCGCCAAAGGATGGAGTGTTCCAAGGTTTGTTTTTCCTAAAGACATGCTCTCAAGATATCATCATTCTTGTAAACCTGTAGAGAAAGAAGTAAATGAAGATAATCATCTTATTCACGAGTATTCAGTATATTTCCAAGTGTCAGACTCTTCTGTTTTATTAAACTGTTTTTTGGTCCATAATGAAATGTAAGTGTCCATGTTTAGTGTCAAGAATCTGGAAAAAAAAAGTAAAGTTAGAGTCTGAATAGCAGAGCTGAATACTCATGGTTTTGTCTTTCTACCCCATATCTTAAAGTTTGGAAATTTATTTGTCAGTCCCTTAGACTCTTTGTGAAATAAGTCATTGATCATGCAAAAAAATCTTTGTGATATAAGTCATTGATCATGTTTTATAATTAGTAACTTATGGTCTTACCTTTTGTTGCAGCTTGGTAAAATTTTTGACACCTGCATCAGGACTTCAAGGATATTGGGACCCTTATCCCATAGATATGGAGTTTAGACCGCCTTGTATGGTACTATCTACTATTGGGATCTCTAAGCCGGGAAAACTAGAAGGACAGAGTGCTAAGCAATGTGCAACACATCTTCACCAGCTTCACGTTTGTTTACCATCATCGAAACAGAAAACAAGATTGCTTTATAGAATGTCACTAGATTTCGCTCCAATTCTAAAGCATGTTCCCTTCATGCAACATTTGTGGAGGCACTTTGCGGAGAAGGTTAGCTTTTTTTCTCTAATCATCTTTTGGTAGCTCGTTTTCTAATTTAAGAGGTTTATGTTGAGAATTCGAAACCAAACTCTTGCTGAAATGCATAATTCAGATTCAGGAATCTTTAAATCTTATTGTATTTGTTTCTGAAAGAGGTGATAAATCAACCAAAACATTGGTTCTTATGAAACTGTGACTAATGCAGGTCTTGAACGAAGATCTGAGACTCGTGCTTGGACAACAAGAACGTATGCTAAATGGAGCAAACATCTGGAACTGGCCTGTACCCTATGACAAACTCGGTGTCAGATATAGGCAATGGAGAGATGCAGTCGAAAGAGGAGAGAAACGTCTTCCCTTTACCGAATGAAATACATACGAGAACACTACCAATGTAACATACTGACGGCTTGACTTCACTCTTCCTTTGGCAAATTGCAATCGGAGATATGATTGATTATTGTAAGGCTTCATACGAATAAATTTCTGCACTTCTCAGCAATGGTAAGGTTTGTTTTGGGGCATCAATTGAGCTCGTCAAATCGCGGAAACCAGAAGTTGTCAATGATGTGAGGGAAAGTCTATAGCATGCCATTAGTCTGTATGCTTTTGCTTAATTTTTTGTCAGGTGTACAGTTTCAGTGCTAAATTCAATAATCCTCCCTCTTTTTTTTTTTTTTTTTTTTTTTTTTTCCTCCCCTATTTTACTCCTCATTAGGGCATCTAATACGAAACCCGATTATAAGTTGAGTGATTGTAAATTTTCACCATTATAGAATAGATGATTGTACATTAAAAGCATGTCTTCTTTCTAATGTATCTTTTGTTAAGAAATTTTGAGGACAAACATTATTCTTCAATTGCAATCTTTTAAAGTACAACTATTATGCTTCATTATTGAAAATACTAGTGTAACCCCAATGTTTCATCCTTGAAGTTATCATCATCTTATAACACGAGAAAATATTAAGTACGCCTTCAATTCCACACAAAAACAAAGTAGCTATATTATAACTCTTGTTGATTTGTGAGTGCATATCCTAAATCAAGTTTAGAATGCTATAAAAAATTTGAAAATTCCCTTCCAATCCTTTAACGTTTAAGCTAATGGTTGAAGCTTGGAATCGTTTGATATCAAATTGCTATGATTAGTAGCAAACAACAATAACAAAACAACAAACCAAATGTTTGTTCATATTTACTAAAATGAGCTAAACTGATTAGAGCGAAACTAAATTGAACTGAAATTAAGCTGAAGTGAACAGACCCTAATAGCTCGAATTAAATCCTTTTATTAAAATTACAAGTATGTATTATTATTATTCATCAAAAACACAAACAAGAACACAAAAAGTCCTTACAAAGAAACACCACAAAAGGGGCAAAAGCGATAATGAGCTTCAACAACACGATCACAAGATTGACACCTTAAAACATCGATATCGGGCGGTGGAGACGACGTCGTAGTAGGAGGAAGAGAGAAAGACTCAGGATAAAACAGCTTACAAGTATTACAATGAAGCAGAGGTTTTTTACCAGGCCATTTCCAAACAGGTACAAAGAACACCTTCAAAACGTTGTCGTATTGAACTAGATCAGCTTTCGAACCGCAGTTAATGCACTTGCTGATTCCGGATTTCAGGACTTGCCCAGCCTGTTGCTCTACTCCTCCCACGAAAAAGAAGAACATTATTATTATTTTTATTTTTTTAATTTTTTGGGTTTATTTAGTTGGATTTATTTGTGGGATTTCTGGGGTTATTAATTTGGAAGATATAATTTTCTGGAAGTTAGGAAGAGGAAGGTAGATTCGTTTTGGGTTTTTATTCAAGAAGTTTATGGAAGTTTCTGAAATCGGCTGGAACTTCGTGGACTCGTGGAGGAAGAGTAGATGTTGTAGAAACTGGAATTTACCCTTATAATCTAATTTATTCAAATATAATTTATCTCAACTTATTTATTCGGATCTAATTTTGAGCTGAACTTATTTTACTCCCTTCGTGTTTTAATGTTTTACATTGACCAAATATAAATGCAGAGACACAACAACAAATTTCGCCCGATAATATTAATATTTTTCTACACCGGGCCCAAAAATCTCCAAATTTCTCAAAAAGCGTGGATATTAGTCTTCAATTTTGAAACATTTTGATTTTTTTTTCGCCCGAAAATAAAAACTGTCGAAATGTTTACCATGGTCCCTAATATCCTCCGGGTGTCTAATTAGGTGGGTGGAACCATCCAATTAGCCTTTAAATGACCAAATTACCGGTTTATAAGTTGCACCGATTTCATTAATTCAAGCCTTCCAGGAACATTTATGATAACAAATTATGATCATATATGGTTCCAAACGGCATTATATGACCCCGAGATGTATTCCATAGAATTCCAACACTTTTCGACACCGGTCCCTGAAACCTCCAAAATTTCTCAAAAAGCGTGGATATTTGCCTATAATTTTGGAATTTTTTGACTTTTTTTCGCCCGGAATTAAAATTGTCGAAATATTTACCATGGTACCGGATACCCTCCGTGAGTCCAATTGGGTGTGTGGAACCATTCAATTTGCTTTTAAACAGTCATTTTACCTGTTTACAACTTGCATCGATTTACCGATTTACAACGGCCAATTTGTTTAACTTGCACCGAACCCGACTTGAACCGAAATTGACCCAAACCCATTTTTACTCGTCAAAACCCGAATTTAATCCGACTTGTTACGAACCTGACCTGAATTCAACCCGACCCGTTCCTAACCTAACCCGAATTTAACCCAACCTGTTACAAACCCGACCCGAAATCAACCCGACTTGTTATTGACCTGATCCAAATTTAACCCGACTTGTTATTGACCCGACCCAAATTATACCATACTTATTACTTACTCAACCCAAAAATTCAACCCGATCTGTTACTAACCCGACTAGAAAATAACACGACTTGTTATCGACCCAACCTAAATTCAACCCTAATTGTTCTTGACCCGATTTCAAATCACCTTAAATGCAATTTAGCCCACCTTATTATTGTTGATCAAAACATTTTGTCTTGGGAGACCAAGTCGGTCCACGCCAGTAAAAGAAAGGAGCATCATCCTCAAATTTATGAGTTAAATATAGTATATATTTGTTGTATTGTCAAAGGAGATAATTATCTTCCAAAATTATAGACTATAGTTCCCTGGTATATTGCCATATATATTATAGTCAAAGGAAATAATTAGCTTGATAAAAATGATAATTATCTATTTATAGTTAGTTGAACCTGACTTGGAAATGACCCGACCTGATTGTAACCTGCAAATTATTGACTTGAACATAACCCGATTTGAATCCGAGAATGACCTGACTTTTAAATGACCCAACTTGATTATAACCCGCAAATTATTGACTTGAACCGAACTCGACTTGAACTTGAGAATGACTCGACTTGAAAATGACCCAACCTGATTAGAATCCGCAAATTATTGACTTGAATTGAACCCGACTCAAACCCGAGAATGACCCGACTTGATTCTAACCTGTAAATTATTGACTTGAACCGAACCCGACTCGAACCCGAGAATTACCCTAACTCGTTTTAACCCGTGAAAACCCGAATTAACCTGACTTATTGTTCACCCGACCCGAACGTAACCCGACCTAAACCCGACCCAAACCCGATAAGAAGTATGACCTGACGTGACCTGACCAACATAGGTTATGGAATTAATCTGAATTGACCCGACCCGAGTTGACACGACCCACTCTTACCCGATCCAAACCTGACGTGTTTACCCGAATTGACAACTCTAGTCTTGGGGATTATACATAGCGTTCTTGTTAATCAAATCAAGCTCAAACCTCGTTCACAAAAGATTTGAACATAACAAGCTAAGGTACTCTGCCTGCTTATCATCCTTGGTTAAGATCAACATGCAGAAACACTGCCTACATAGTCTGCATATTGACCATGACATGAATTTAACACTTTCTTTGATTAAGATCAGCAAGCATCAAATAATGGTCAGTTGAATCAGATTTTTGTTCACTCAAAGTCAAAACTTTATGCATTCATTCATGCCATACAGTGCTACCCAGGCTGATTATTGTGATCAACAAGAATTTCTCGTGCACCAAAGATGAAAACTTCACGATCATCTAGTAAAACTTCAGGATTATATAATATGATTATACGAAGAAGTGCATAGTAACTAACAGAAAATACTTTCTGAAGTTTATGCTTATCAGACGACAACTCTGGTTAACTGCTATTAGCAGTAAACCTCATTAAATCATTACATAAACACGGCACAAAATCTTATGTTGTATCAGTATCACAATACACTCACAATATCCATTCCCAACTATCCCAACCCACATGCGAAGTAAAGAGCAACGTGAGGGAGGAACAAAGAAAAGGCATAAAATAGGTTAAGGCACTAGAGAGATTAGAAGCTTGTCAGTATTTACATGTTACCTATGACAAGCTTCAAGGGTAATTAAGCTGGCTTCCATGCTGTAAGAATCTCCTGAAACATCTCAGTCAGTAATTCCCTATCAGCAGTTTGAAAAAAGTTGCTTAAATCATCCTTAATATCGTATATCTTTCCAAAATCAAACAAGTATGTTAAGCACCCTTTCTTAAGTTTATCAAGCTGGTAAAGCCAGGCCTCCTGCAGCCTCTCTAGGACATTCCCTGAGTTAATGTCCTCCAAGAGGCTTTCTTCACACGCGTCTTTAAGATTTGTCATGTCATACTTGTTTGCAGCTGCCAAAAGACCAAGCCTGTGCTTCCAAAAATCCTCAGGATTCATAGTTCCATATATATAGCTGAGGAGGGCCCTGCAAGATTCCCAGGACATGTCGTCTATCGCAATGGTTGAAGATTCTTTTTCTTTCAGATCATGGAGGAACATACTTTGAAACACGGGAGAGCTTGCCGAAAGCATTGCTTTGTGAGCCTTCAGGGTTCCGTCTACAGTAGTGATAGTTACATCAGTGCAGATTTCCTCATAAAGCATGCGAGAGATTGTTTGGAGGGCACTTTGCGAGGCCAAAGATTGCATGTTTCCTTGAGTTGGCCATATTGAAACCGCTTGACCACCCTATGAAATGAGAAAAGGTTAGATAGGAGATAGTCAAAAAACAAGGGTTCTTTGAACAAAATATAATACTTGTGATTTTATGAAATTATGAACATTCAATAGGGTCCTTGAGTGTATGTTGTGGAGACTCCAAACACTCACTAAATTCATACTCAAGTCTGAGTAATTTCATTACTACCGAGTGACAACTAAGTCCAATCACTTTTAAACACTAACAATCATATTTGTTTCAAATTTTCAACGTTTTCTTAACACATGTTTAAGCGTCACAAGCTGAAAAGATAATGCCACATTCTACTAGTCAACAACCTGAGACCAAGAAGAAACCATGTAGAAACACAGATTGTGATGCAATTTAGATTATGAACTCTTCTGTATGGTTCTTTAAAAGGCAAAGATGAAAGATCAAACGAATGATCCCGTATTACACTCCAATCATATGAGAAAGATAAACATCATATAAATGAACGCAGCTATTGATTTTAAAGGTCACTGACTTAATTCGTGAAATGTTTTTTTTAAGTCCAAATGGTCTTTACTGGAATTCCACTTTGCAATTATGGAATGTTTACAACTTTGTAATTGTTGGAGCAGTATACGCATAATTATATTAATAAAATGGTTAAGTAAACAGAGTTGAAAATCTCAGAGACACTAGAGGTGAGGTTTACCCCTAACCGAGTATTTTCAAGAGAAGCCACGTGTACTACAAGCTATGTTCAAACATGGCACATGTGACTATATTTCTAGTCAAGAAACAAGAAAGAAAATCACACTGCCTATTAGCTACCAGTCATTAAATGCAGTAGGTCTCAATAATTGAAAAGAACTAGATTTGTTAAAATTTCCCTTAAGGGCACAGAGTATAAATCGGAGAATATATAGAAATTGCATGAAAAAAATCCTACCCAACAAGATGTTCTCCAATTCACAGTCTACAGAATACAGAGGGTCAAAGTATTTGTCATTAACAGCAGGCAAACACAAGCACTTGCCACTAAAACTCTAAAAGAAGATAATTCTGAGACTCACAGTTGATGGGCAGATCTTCAGGTCCAGGAATTCCACATCAATAATAAACCGGCCATAGAATGTAGTGTCCACAGGCCACACAAAATCATCGCTGTTACGAAGAAGTCGTTCATGAACTGCAAAGAAGCAACAAAAGACGTTAAGAACATTTACTTGCTATCAATCTCGGGGAAGGCAAGAACATAAGTTTTGAATTTGTAATACTAATATGTTAAGATTATGTCAGACTGTCAGTATCCCCCCCCCCTCCACACACACAAACAGCTACCGAGTGCTTAGTATAAAAGTATAAACCTGTAGAAAACCCAGTATCCCCAAACACTGATATACCAGATTTTCAAAATTTAGTTGTATCAAAAACAATTACTACTCAGTATTTATCTGATTTTCCAGCTGAGGGAAGAGAGCTCATGTATACTGAATAAATCACAAAGACTACACTACAGGGAACAAGCAACTGACACCTTGACAGCATTTAAAAAATATCTAGTGCTTCAGATACAAATTATCACTTCAAGCACTTTTTACACAGTAAGAATTAAAACTGGCATAATTGGTATGTAGTATTTCATTCATATTACCCCCAATAAAAAAGAGAGCTTTATATTACGTTGATACATATTGCCGAAAAGAGGTTGACTCAACACCATAAATTTTAAATCACAGGAATTACAAATTCAGTACAGCACAGCTCAGGTATTATTAACATAAGTGGACAAGAAATTCAAAATAAATATAAGCAAATCATTGACCAAAATTATTCATGTAAAGTTTTATTTCTCTGTTCTTAGAGGGTTTGCTAAATCAAAACTATTTATAATCAAAACTCCCAAGAGCTTCTAGCATCAAGACCCATACTAAGTGTTACCTTGCCCCTTTCACTCTGCAACATGGATACACTAGGATAGCTATCCGGAGCTCAGACTTAAGATTCTACACCAGGACAATGTGGAAGCATTAAAAAGATTTTCAACTATGAACAGCAACTCCTATACCTAATTACTAAGTATCCCCCAACCCCAAATTTTTTTTTTTTAAAAAAAAAGAAAAAAAAAAAAAAGGGGGATAGTAGGTGCTAGTAAAACAAGGGTATTTTGTTGAAATTATAAAGAAAATAAAAAAATTGCAAATCTCAAAAGCATATCCTGGAGAAAAAAAATAAAAAGGAGCACGTAATAGGTTAAATGCATTTAGCAACTCTAGAGTTCTATGTGGCTTTCTACTCCATTGGGCAAGCAAGTTGTGGCTCAGTTCAGAAGAGATACACATTAATGTCTCCATTATGATTCACACACATTATTGAAGCTGCAAAAAGCATCAGGAACAAAAATCTCATAATCATACACAAAATACAGATCTAACATGGATGCAAAATCAACCGATATTCATTGAAAATGACGTGGCTCCTTCCCCAGGTCTTAAAATTGCACAACAAAATCACTCGACATAACTCCAGATTATAAAATTATATTGCTTAAAACTAGCAGTGCTTAACCACACAATACCATAATAAATAAATACACAATACGAAGTAGTTATTGTAACAATTATGGCAAGACTCGATGCACTTGAAAGTACATGAATCTCAAGAAACCTTAAGCAAACATTGCAAACAATTAGACTAAAATGCTAGATAGCAAAAGAAGCAACAATCAGAATCAGAAGTTTCACAAATATGTAGATGAGATTCCTTTATAATCCTTTCCCCTCGTTCAAATATATTTCTTTAAGTGATCTCACACCTTTTCTTGTAAGTTAATTCAATACAAACAAGTAGACACTTCACATGAAGGAAACACTGAATCTATTTAGAGATAGCAACAAATTCAAGAGCTTAGATGAAAAAAAATTAATGATCATGTTAAAAAACTAGATGACCCACATTGGCTAATTAGCTGCAGGAATTGCTACCATGATTCATGGCAAATACATAACTCAAAGATAACTTCAATATATCATGGTGCTTAGCCTAGGGATTAAGACATGAGCAACTAAACAAAACTTTACTACAAAGGAAAACCAAACAACTAAAATAAGATAGACAAAACAGCAGGCCGGGTGGAAGTTCAGTATCGAGTAATCGAATCTAGCCTCTAAATCCTAGACCACATTAATTATAGCAGGTCTAACTCGAACAAAATAACCAAACACCTCATTTTCTCAGAATCAACAAACTTAACCGAAAAAACCTCACTAATTCTCCATCCATCCAATCAAACAAACTAACAATAACAAATTCCACAATCGCATAACACGAACACGAAACCAATCATGAAGCCTACCAATTCAACAATCCTCATTTCAATCACAAGAAAAAACACAATCCAATATACACCACAACAAGAAATATTCTTCACTCAAAACAATTACAATTCATCATCAAAATTTCAAAAAGTAATCAAATTTACAAGAACCCCACTTCAAATTCAAAACAAACAAATCAAAAATCGAAAGGAAAGTAAAAAAACATACTAGGAGAAATATAGGGTCTTCGACTAAGACCGAGATTAGACACTCTAAGAATAAAACGAGCAAGTGGCGGCTGATCCTTTGACACCCGAGAAGGTTCTGGAAACAATCTTACATATAAATATCGATTCTTTTCAATTGCTAAATGCCTGAAATTCACAACAATTTTACAAATTAATAAAAAAAATAGCAAAAAAAACTGCACTTTTTTCAGATTTTTTTTCTGGGTACAAAAAGAAATCAAAGATTAAGAAGAAAGAAAACAAACCAATTCCAAAGACCCAATTTAAAAGGGTCAGATTTTTTGTAAGAACAAGGGCCAAAATTGTCGATTTTCCACTGTGCTAGTCTAGAGATAGTCTCTACTTTGGTATCCCCCATTTTTTTCTGAGTTTCTGATGACTGTTGCTGAGGAGAGAGACTCAGAACACTTTCATACATTTTTTTTTTTAATGTTTGGCGTTTTATTAAATTTTTTCAGTTTCTATAATTGGAAGGACTAAAAATCATCCAATAAAAGTCGAACACTTTGTTGCTTTTTTAATTTTTATTGGACTTTACATAATTTGTTTTTATATAGTTGTACTTGTAAAATACACTTGTATATTAGACCATGACTCAAGTGGGGTTAATTTTGTCTGAATTGATTGATAATTTGATAGGTACATCAAGGATGTTTGATGATGTTATTTGATAAATTCATCTTATATAGACGTAATTAGTAGATTAACATCAACTTTCATTTGAAAAAGTACCGTTAATATTCTTGTTACTAAAAGTAATGATCATAAATTGGTGTTGATACAATGTATCTATTAAAAAAAATTGATTGATGGTAATTCATCATAAAACCTCATTTAATAGCATTAGTAAAAGGCAAAAGCTAATGAGCGTCTCTGGGGCGTCGGAGAAGAGAATTAAAATGCAATTATTAGAGTAAAATTAACATTAATTACACCGAATGACGCGTGATTTTGTCAAGAATTCCTAACTTAATACCATTTCAACCAATATAATTTATCCTTATCTAACGCCCCGGGGCGCTCGTTAGCAAGATCGTTAATAAAATCAGGGTAATGTTATATGTAGTTCTAAGGATTATATATAAGCATTAAATATACTTTTGGAAATTGTATAAAATTAAAAATTCATGATAAAAACACGCGTAAATCAATGTTATTAGTATTTCTATTTTGATGATTTCTTAACTTTTTACGATTTTCAAGTGTAAATTTGATGCTTATATGTAGCCCTAAGGGCTATGTATAACATTTTTCATAAAATTATTCTTTTAAAGATATTTCTTCGGCACTTCTTTAATACTGTACACACTCTTTATCTCCCCAAAACTAAGACTTTGGTTAGCTAATACAAATCAAAATCCCACACAAATTATATAAAAACACTAGTTTACAAATACCTATGATTAATAAAGCTCCATCTTTTAAATTTTTGTTAACATTGCTAGTAAAGGCAGTATAGCAATAGTCGAATTATATCGAGGTTTGCTTCACTTTTTTTTTATATAAGTTTGTGGACAAACCTCTTAGGGACGCTTGGTTCACAAAGTGGTATTGGGTGTTACAATAAGGATGAAACTAGGATAATTTTTTGTGTATAATTCACAAACATTAATTAAGGTTAGATAAGTAAAAAGTACAAAAAGTCTCATCAATGTTCTGAAAAAAACGTCTCAATAAGGTTCTTAAAAAAAATAGAGAGAGTTACAATCAAATGTGGTGTTATTATTCACTCTGCCCAAGGTATAGTTGATGCAGTTGAGACCAATTTCGCCTACAAATAAATATGAGAAATAAATACGAGTACTCCATATTTCGCATGTATTTTGCATTATTAGCGTGTGACCGCGTGTTGTACACTTACACCGATAAATCGCAAGCACCTTATTCTTCCCCAAATCAAAATCCCAGCTTCCCCAAATAACCAAAATCCTTCTTTGTTGAATTTCTAAGTTGAGAGAGAAACAAGAAATGGCGACTGACAAAGGTAAAATTGAAGGAGGAACAGAAATACCCAAAATCATTTGGAATGAAAATCAACAAAGATTCGAAACAGAAGACAAGAAAGCTTATTTAGAATACCATCTTATAAACATTCATGGAAATAATTCCCAAATCATGGATATCCTTCACACCTTTGTTCCTCCTTCCAAGCGAGGCCTTGGTTTGGCTTCTCATCTCTGCGTTGCCGCCTTCAATCACGCTCAGTCGCATTCCTTACCCGTCATCCCTTCCTGCTCCTATGTCTCTGTAAGTATCGTTGTCGTTATCATTATCGTTATCAGGATAAGAGTATATAAACCGACCTTGAGCTTGGACCATCAGTTTAAGCTTTTGGTTGAGTTGGTCCACTAACATTAAACATGTAACAATTAACATTTAAAAGAATGCAAGTCTTGTTAGTTACGTACTTGGTGGTGTGACAATTGGATGTTGGATGTTACCCTTTTGTTTGTCGACGAAAAGGGCCTGTAAAGCGTAAACTACTAACAGATTGGTATATGTTTTGATTGTTGCAGGACACATTTCTTCCGAGGAATCCATCATGGAACGCGTTAGTGTACAAAGGAGATGTTAAATCTAGTATGTGAACTCCAGCAACTTCTCTATTAAAATACAAGCTCTGTGATGCTATTTCAGCTATTACATTCAGTGAATGAAATGTTTCATGCTCAAAGAGGATCTTGTAATTGAAAATACATATTATTATAAATAATATTCGCTGGTTTTCTTCTATCTCCTTGCAGTATACATGATACATAAGTAGTAGTAGTACGAGTAGTACATTACAGTCGCTTAACATTCCATAAAACGATGTCAGTGCTGGCTCTGCTGGGTGCGAATCAAACAAGATGTTTAAACTTAAAACAGAACATAAAAGTTTAACACTACGACAACAGTAAATATTTACAACATGAGTGGTGAAAACAAGAGGCCGGAACTTATTGTGCCATACATTGATCATACAACAAGCGTCTTCCAATTGGGTATTAGTCGGGTACAAAGAAATCCATCTTATCCACTGGAAGATTCACAACTGATGTTTCCACCTACAAAACACGTTGATAACAAATTAGCTCACAACCAGGGCAGTAATTTTGTAAAGAAAAATGATATTGGCTTTGAAATGAGCAGAAAAAAGAAAACAAAAGAATTCAAGTATATAAATTTGTGCATTTTAAAATACAGCAATGCCCTATTCAAGTGCTCATTTTACTGCCAGAAAATGGAATTTCTAACTTTCTAAGTATAGCTTGAGCTGTTGTATTCATGAACAACAAAAGTTTCTTACATTTAACTCAATTCTAAGAATATAAAGAGGAATCAACATACCTCTTCAAATGGAACAAAGACAAAAGGAGTTAAGCCCCTGCTGTGTGAGACTGCAGGCACATCAGGATTGTGTGTCTCATCATCCTGCCATCCTTCAACTACATCAAGCATGTCTTCCTCATGGTTTGCCTCATTGTCGTTAACACCACTGGTGACCAGGGAGACCAAATCCATTCTGTTATTAGCGCCAGCTGTTGTCCCCCTCAGTCTTAAAAAATATGAAGTAGAAGTCATTAATTCATCCAAAGGAAGCCCCTTCAGGTTGTTCCCTAAAAAAAAGTCACGTAGAATATAAACAAGCACTATTATACACATAACACGTCACTGCTATGCAACCCAAGCCTCCAACAATTTACTTTATACAAGACATAAGGAGGGCACCAAGGACATTGCTATTTATTTGGTAGCAAAATTGATTGAAGAAGAAGAAAAGAGACCAAAAAAAAAATTGGGAAAGAAGTTGAGTGAGAGAGGGTAATCTGAGGCATAATAGGGGAAAGAGTAGAAGGAAATGTACCAAGGAAATTGAGTATTTGCATTAAGCTTTTTGGGAATGCTACCCAGCCACATATATGCTCGGGTTGTGTAATCAGTATATCAATTTCAACAATCATTTCATTTTATATCCTCTCTGAAACCCTTCTTTTGTTCTAAATTTTATACCCTATTCTTACCAGTAACCACTACCAAAAGGTTAACTTAAACCTATACAGGTTAATAGTGTATACTAACCTACTCTAACATGCAGAAGATCATCTGGAGATTATTGGCGTTCACATATACATTCCTTAACTTCGCAGTTCAATATAGCAATATCAAAGAAAAGATTGGGAATTATCTCTTTTGTTGATAATTGATCACTAAAAGCAAGGATGATCATGAATCAGCTACATGGGGATCTAAAAACCACCAGCATTACTATATTCATCTTTTTAAAAAAAACTGAATTTTTTTCCAATGAGAAATATCTAAGAACGAGTTGAGCTCTAAAGTATGTTCTTTCCAAGACCACAAAGGCACAAACATAAAACTTGTCACTGGACAGTAAGCTCAAGCCCAAAACTAATACAGTATATAATTCCAAATTTACAAGTTCAAAGATACAATTCGAATGTTTATGTATTAATTAGAGACAACCTATCAAGTCATGTCAAATACCTTAAGCGTATCCTCAAAACAGTAGGCCTCAAACCAGGGTACAGAAGTGCAGCTTCAACCTGGAAACAATGACAGCATCCTTTAGATTAGGAAACATATTGAGCAATCAATTGTTTTCATATCCACCCCAAAATTCCCTGTCACCTACAAGAAAGTAAGAAATAGAAAGATTTTAACCTTGTCATCAGACAATGTGTATTGTCCACGATAAATACACTCTGCTTTAGATGCTCGAAAGTTCATAATCTTAGCAACATCTTTAAGTTTCTGAGATGAATTCTAGCAAATAAAATAACAACGAAAAGTAAGCAATCATATAAAAGATACAAACAATATAAATAAATAAATAAAATAAATAAAATAAAAATTGTGTATGCTAAAAGAACTTGTCAACTGGATCATCTAACCTTGTACAAAAATCTTCCAGAGGGGTAAAACTTGATGTACCGGTAGTAGCACACCTGAACAGGAGAAAAAAAATTATAGACAAAAAACATGATCAAACATTTTAGCTCAATAAATATTGCTGTGAGAAAACCAAGTTTCTGTATTATTATTCAATTAATACATGAGAGGGAGGGAAGACAAGAAGTGCTTTAAGATATGAAGTAAACATCCTTGCTCTTCTGAAACGAGACAAATGATGCATGTATATCCCTATATTTCCAGATATGAAGTTTTTGAGCATAAAGCAGGGAGGGTGACAGGCATCTTTCTTGATCTGCTTTAATAATTGAAAACTTAAAAGGACTTGGTAATAGCACGAGGAGAAGCAACCTACCAAGTGTACTGGATTTGAAACCCTCCATTCAGCGATTCCAGCACGTATATAAGTATTCCTGCTCACATAAATGCCTGCATGCAACAATAACAAACCTTGATGTATTCATGGCATTTATATTCCTGAACTAGTAAAAAAAGGCGAAAACACAAAATTTAAAGGATTGTCCTAATTAGAAACTATAATCTTCATCAGCAAAATCTTCACAATCTCTAGCTCCATCAAAGAAAAAAAATGCCAAACTAGACTAACTTTATTGCCATTACTAGTCAGCACTCAGCACTCTTTCATAGTATCAACTAATTGAGATGAGCACAATGATCAATTTTCAAAAAAGCCAACCAGAATTTTGTAATACCCTCATTTCACGAACTTATAGCCATGTCAAATACTTGACATTCCAACATAGGTATGGACAATTAAATACTTCATAGGCTTAAATCATGAAAATATTTCACAAAATAGCCAAGTTGGACACTTGGACACTAGTGTCCAATTTGAGTACAGAGCCCAAGTAGCATAGATTTACCCATAAAGCATACTTGTGCATTAAAATTTGTTTCATCCCTCAATAAGATGAACCTTTATTATTGGTTACACATTCAGTAGAGGAACAGTTAGCTAACTTCAAAAGAGCAAGAGCCAAGAGATAATCACACTTCACTCACATAAGCTGCTTTTAGGAGATTACTCGTCTCCATCACCAACCAAAACTATCACTCTTAGTTAATCTTTGCAACTATTGGTGTCCTTATATATGGTTCTTCCTAGCTACCTCTTTTTACATGAGACTTACCATCAGTTCGCACTCTCGGTCTCGAGAGCCACATTTTTCTCCATGAGCCGTCATATTTTGAATGCAAAATTTGGTAATTGTACACCACTCCAGAAAGCTTCAGCAAGAAAATGATTTTTAGATAATGACAGTATGAGAAAGTTAGAATATGAGTAATACAGAAGTTGCTGAGAAACTAAACCTGCCATGCTTTCAAGCATGCGATGCGCCAAAAAATAGGGTTGCGTATGGCATATCTCCATTTGCGGCAAACACAAGCAGCTTTTCCCAAATGATAAGAAGGCAATCTTGCAAAGATCTGCACCCAAAAAAATTAGTCATTTATTTAGGGCTCGTACATCTTTGTTAGAAAACTAAAATCAAAACCCGGAAACCACTTTAATTTTCAAAAGCACGATAATTCTAATAGGTTTGACTATTTTTATTAATTTTTATGAATTTATCATATGTCTATCAAGAACAAAAAGCCAGAAACTGAAAACCACAGGCCCTTTTTATTTGGCTTTTTATTTAGTGTGTGTGTCAGAGGGGGGGGTAAAACTGAAAATCAATTTATAGCATAGGATAATAAATGATTATATCTTCTGATTTTTATTTTTATTATTGTTAGTTTGTGACAAATGGTTAATACTTGTGCAAGTAATGGAGCTATCCATTTATAGGGTTAGAGAAAAGCTAACTATATATTGTTTCTATGTTACTATATGAATTTTACTTTTGAAGCTTTCCATAAATGGTGATTGCTTATGCATCATTCTCATTCTTCTTATAGTAGTTTCTTCGTGATACCACATATCCTGATGCAAACCTATTCCAGCAAGTCCTGGAAATGTAATAGTGATACTCAACATTTCAGAAATATTATGACGAAAAAAGGTTTGAATATGTTGGTTGACTCAATAATAAATGTGTTAATTTCAGAACTTCCACATACAACTACAGAGAATATTTTCTGTTGAATTAGAACAAAGTCTTAATTTTCAGACAGCACATGAAGTAAACACAAGAAAGAGATCAGAATTGATCATGTATATACTTGTTCTTAATATCTTCACCTTAGTCAATCAAGCTACCTACCAAGCCACTAAAAGGTAATTGACGCAAAATGTTGTTTTAACAAAGAAATTAGACCAGGAGCCCAGGACAAACCCATGACAGAGAAAGATTACATACTTACAAGCCCGAGTGAAATTTCATCCCACGACCAATTGGCTACAAGTACTCCCCCAAGCTTGTATGGTGTTATTTTTTCTCCTTTTCTCCAATGTGGAACAACTAACATGTGCACAGCATATATGTGGCTCAACAAAAGCTTCTTTAAGCATACCCCATGAATAAATATTTAAAGATTCCATAAACTGAATGGCTGAACCAGTGTAGCTTCTTCTATAAACATACAAAGAAGCTAGTATTGTCAGAACTTGAAAAGCAGAAACTCCCTGACTAGAGAACTAAATTATGGCGCTTTATTCTCACTAGGAATTGGAATCAACGTAGCTAGACATTCTCAACATACACATTTTAATGTTATTCTTCGAAACTCAACCAAGACCAGGCAACTATGAACTTTGAAAACGAAACAAAATCAACATGGATTCAAACAAGAACACGTCACTGACTGGTTAATTAACATCTAAGACTCATTACCTCATGAAGCAACTCATCAGGAAGAGCACGGTGGATAAGTGCAGGATCAAGAGAAGAAGCTGTGTTACTAACACTTCCAAATGCTGCCACTGGACTAACCCTAACCCCATACAGATCTATATGAAGACATTGAAACAAACAACTACTAAGACTATGAAAGTGAACAAAATGAGAAGCTAAACAGTCAAAAGATCAACACAAAATGAAAATGATATTGGCAAGAATGACAACCCTAGGGGTTAACTATAAGATGCTAAAATCTGAAATATTAAGCAGTAAGTAAACATAATAACCTTAATCAATGCATAATTTTGTCATGAATTCAAATTCTAATACACACTAATTAGTATATCAAATTCTAATTTTCAAGCAATATAATTGTAAAATGAGAGAAGCAGAAAATTATACCAAGCCAAGGTCTTTTAGTAACAAAGAATTGGGCAGTCTTCCAATGGTAAGCAGCCTCTAATTCTGCCACAATTGGAGAGTTTAAATCTGCAATACACAAAATCCCCATTAAGTTTGCAATTTCTATTTCCAAAATCGATTATAATTAGCTAAAATAAAATCACAAATTTCGAGGTAATTGGGGGTTTTAAGAGATACCCAGATGGGAATATGAATCAAATTGACCAAATTCATGAAAAATTAGAAGGATAAGAATAAAAATAGATTTTTTTTTTCGATTGATTGAAAATTAGTGTTTTATAATCAAATTTGTAATAAAAATGAATGGTGGAAAACAGAAATTACTCTAATAATTTCATACCAGAGGAAGCCATGGTTTTGTTCTTTTGATCCCACTACCTGGGATTTTTTTTTTTTTTTTTAAAACCTGTTTTTGTTTTTGGGATTTTTCTGGGATAACCGGGAAAGAAAGGAAAAGAGTTCCGACAAAACTGAAAGAAATAACAGAAGAGGATGAGGAGAGAGAGAGGGGCCCAATAATGTACAACCACGAAGTAGATAACAGAATCTCCTCAGCTCCTCTACGAAATCTACTCGTGCACATTCCTACGCCGCCGGTCACAAAATCCACCTACTTTTTTACTCTACTCGGGGGGATTTAGCCATACATCATATACGGAGTATTAAGTTATTGGTCAATCTAGGGTATATATTGTTCACCTTATTTTCACTTATTTTAGGTGTAATAAATTCAGATTAGTTCAGATCAGATTTGATAAGTTCTGATAAGGGTTACCCAAGTACAAATAAAGTCGAATAAGTTCTGATAAGGGTAAGGGTTATCCAAATAAGTTTAAATAAAGTCGAATAAGTTCAGGTAAGTTCGGATAAGTGAAAATTAGGTGAATAGAATACACCCCTGGTGCAAGGAAACATGTAGTCAAGTATATTTAAGGGTATTAATGTCCACACACTATTTTTAAAAGTTATAAAAAAAAATAATTATCATTAATGAGAGTAAATAAGTAACTAAACATTTTAAATGGTATAATTGTCCAAATAATATTTATTTCAAAAGGTTATACACATTAATTAGGGTATATGTGTAAAAACACATTTTTAAGGGTATAATTGGAATCACATTATTCATAAGAGTAATCTTGTACTTTTATAAGGTAAGGATACAACACGAGTTGTTAAAGGTTTTATACACTCGTGTAGTGGTGTCAAAACCACACCCGATTCAATCCGAAATCAACCCGAAAATATCAAATTCAGATTTCGACACAATAATTTAGCATGAATCAACTTTAAAAGTTAACCTAATCCGACCCGACCCGACATCATCAAACCTGATCCAGACATCTGAATTGAGACCTCTACCTGTATGGTATGAACATCATACAAATTGAGGTATGTTGGTTGTGAAACTTTAAATTTCAATGGTATATTAATCGAAATGTTGCTAACGAACGTTCCACATATTTAGATAACTAATTAATAAAACCTCTTTTTCAGATAACAAACGCATTAGACTTTTTTTCACTATTCATATATAGTTTTTTACTATAGTTTTTTCTTATTTTTAATTTATGTAATAAAATTACATTTTTGTATTATAATGCCATAATATGGGTGATATGAAAATGAACATTATACTTGTGTATCACATGACCTCTTCATAACTTTAAATTCAAGGGAATAATAATAAAAATAAAATTCTAGTGACTCAATTGAATTAAAAAAAGTTCAAGGAAATAAATCAACATTGTATTCCATTGTTGTGTGATTTTGTAAATACTTTCATAAATATTTTATATTTTTTAAAATTAATATTAAAATAAATAACAATTTAATATATTATATCATATATCACTAATATATAAAGACTGTTTTGCAGCGAGGTCTAGAGGCGGAGTTAAAAGAAAAAAAAATTGTTAATACATTATGTGGTGATAAAAGATTTATATAAAGTAAGATGGTGTAGTGGTTAATGCTTTGCATTGTAAATGTTGTTTACGCGGGTTCCAATCCTAGGGAATTCTCGATGGGATAGAAAGGAGATTCGAGTTTCATGTTAACCTCCTAAGTTTTCGCATAAATCCTAGCTACATGTTCAACCATATCATAGACAACTCCCTATTGTTAAAACATTCTAGTATTCTACATTTATAAACATAATACGTATATTATATACGTTGTACATAAATACATTATACATGTATTAACGAGGATTTCCAATGTTTAAGAACCTTCCTTAATCTTACATTAGAGATTTAAGTTATTTTTTAGGGACTTTCTAGAGTCACACATCTAAGGCCAAGTCTTCCTTTGATTACTGAATTTGGCCCAATAGCTGCCATGGAACGAAGTGACATTTGCTCAATGTTTGGAGCAATTTCGTTATGGAAGGTGATGCGTACTGCCTAGTGCATTATCACAAAGGATTTTACCAGTTATGTTTTACTTGTATATATATTTATGCATGAATTATTGCTTGCATACATATATGACTAGCTAGTACTCGTATTCGCTAGGTAAGGAACTGTACCAAGGATTATGGCCTTCTATATTTAAAGTACAGTATGTGAATAGTGTAGTATCATATTACTACGTATTTCAATTATGTCTAAACTGGCCTGGGGAGATACTTCATATACTATTTGACTATTTGTTCAGTAGTAGTCCAATCTCCAAACCGACACAATAGTAAACTGCTAGTAGAAAATAGGCATTGCTTGTAACTAATTTAATGATGTATCATATAATAGCATTTATTTATTTCATTAAAATAATAAAACTAATATAAAGGATACGATTCAGTTTAGCTCTAATAAGTTCAGTTCAGTTCTAATAAGTTTAGTTCATTTCAATTTAGCTCTAATAAGTTCAGTTCAGTTCAGTTTAGCTCAACTCACTTTAGTCAATCAGAACAGGCCCTAAGTCTATGTAAGCTTAAAGTATTGTTCACTATTTATATACACATTCGAATGCAAAGTGCACTTATGCTTTAAATCGAAACTACTGGCTTAAATTTCTCAAAATGATTTATATTGATTTTGACACACCTTTATGTGAAAGCACAATTTTATATGTTATTCTCACGTAAGGATGTGTCAAAATCAATTAAGGGTGTGCTAAAATCAATTTCCCTTCGTACGGATGATTGTTTGTTATCCAAAGATGAGAAATGGGTCCCAATCCTACTCAGATATGAGTAAGATTCTAATGGCATCTGATCTCATCGTCACTAAGTATCCCCAAGTACTTGGGATTTTTTTTATCGAGCTACTATATATACCTCCACAATTATGCACCTGCCATTCATACGTCTAATTTATCAAATTTAAACAAATCGTCTAAAATTTTCATGTCATTTCTTCTCTCTTCAATTGCTAATAAGTAGTTGCTAGAAATTTTCTCAAAAACCAAAAAAAAATAAAAAAATAAAAAAAAAAGGTAGTTGCTAGAAATAATGCACCAAATTTGTCTCATGTTTGATGATTTGCATGCCAAGTTCATAATTTCTTGCTAGCTTTTGCTCATTCCAACTTCTGATTAGAAAAGGTGAGGATTCCTTCTCAAATCTTTGCTAGGAATTTTGTATTGAAAATGACTATTTTTCGATTATCAAACTCTACAATCACTTAAACGTTTTCCTACCTACCATATAGAGTGTTAGAGTCAGGAGTAATGCATATGAAACTCTGTTAGTTGAGACGATTAATACAAGAGGAGGAGTGAATTGTATTGAGTTCCTAATGACTACTTTTTGCGGATAAATAAACAATGCGTAAAGGAACTTAAGCAAACACACAAATTTTACGAGGAAACCTTTCAGGGCCCAATTGAAAGTAAAACCTCGACCCTACCTTAGGGATTTCATACACAAAACACTTCACTATAATAGGGCAAACACCAAGTTACAAACTATTAGACACATACCTTTATTTCACAAGTTCCTCACTGGACTTGCTACTTGATAGGACCCTATCCTACCCAATCTAAGCCACACTTAGATTCACTCGTACCACCAAAGTACTACACGTACTACCAAAGTACAAAACATTCATACCACCCCAGTACAAAACTCACAGCCTCACCAAAAAGCTTACACAAATCTGTATGTAACACAAACCATAAATATCACCCCAAATAACCCCACCAATACAAATATAAGACGCCTATTATTATAGGTAAGCAATGCACGAAATCCGAAACTAATATGATAAGTTAAAAGCTTGGTAAACTTACTCAGTTAAAGCACGATGATTTCTCCACGCATAAACTCACAAAACCTAAAACATTTTTCTCTCTACTATTTATACAAGTAACACTTGTATAGAAGGTAGGTTTTCTAAAAAGCTAAATATGTTAACTTGACTTATCTTTATTAAACACTGTTTTAGTAAATCAAGTGGAATAAAATCTTTTCCGAAAATAAGTATAAAAGATATTTATTAAGAAAACTTATCTTTCTTAATAAACCGACTTTAGAGAAGAATAATCTTTTTAGAAAATCTTTTCCTAAAATCTATCTTTTATTATTTTCCATATTTATTTTATTTACCAAGCAAACTTATCACGTTTCTAATAAATTTCGTGCACTAACCTACTTACCATATTAACAATAATTTCTAAGAATAAAACCTTGACTATTATTGTTGCGCCGCACTCTGATCAGATGAATTACTTGGGCTCCAAGCATATCAAGTTCCACCAAATTAAAGAACTTAACTGCTAGTCTTCAAGTTCCTGTTATGGAACTTAGTTCTTGTTAGAGAACTCTTCCTCTGATTAGTTTAACTTCTTCAATAAAGATCTTCTTCATGTCTTCTTAGATTCAGATGATTCTTCAATCACCAAGATTATCCAGCACCTTGACTAATCACACACTAGAAAATCTTTATTAGATGAGTTTGCTTTTAGTTTAAGTTCCTCATCATCAAAACCTTTATACTTCAACAAACTCGAGTTTTGATACAATAATTTGTCATTCTCTTAACAAAGCGCAATTTACTATGTATTTCCATTACTATATATTGAGTTTTGATGCTATATATATAGTGATAAAATAATAGTGAAGTAAATGTTAAGATCTAAATAGCTATAGTGATAGCCCTTCCATTAGCCGCCATGCTACAACTTACAAGAGGTACTAATAGCTCTAATCAGCACGTGGCTGAGTTACGATTGATAAAAAGGTGTCAATTAAATCAACACAATCCGAATATAGAAATATAACTATGTTGTGGATGTGATTTACCATGTAAATTATATTTTCCTTATATTAAGTCATAATTAAAGAATAAATGAGCTTGTTTGATATTAATTCTAAACTCCGTCGCCATCCACTCTAAAACCTACAAGTAGTAAATAAGCATGGCAAACAAGTGAAAAGACAATACTCCCTCCGTCCCTAAATTAAAAGTCTCCTTCTTTTTATTATGTGAGTAATAAATGCTAGAAAGAGGCTTTGTATTAAGGGACGGAGAGAGTAGTAACCTAGCACTGCCTGTAATTGAATTTAGGGAATTTTTTTTCTTGGGTAATTGTCAATGATTTTGCATTATTTGCATTCACACAAAGTCAAGGGTTTTATATGCATGACATTTACACAAGGTGTTAGACGTTTTAATTTGTGGGCTAGCATTTGGGCTTCGATTGATGTGCATGTATTATTCAATAAATGGGCCGGGCCTAAGGTATGAATAAAGTTTAAGGCCAATAGGTCTATGGTAGACCCTGGTCCATCTAAAATAGGTGGACCACCAGCCCAAATACAATCCACCAGCACAAACACACTACATATAACGCGGCCCAAACTTTCGTTTCTTTCTTTCCACTCCAACAAAACTGGTATAACATTAAATATGAACATTCACTCTTTCAAAGGCTGAAAAATTCTCGTTTCTCTCTCCTCTGCAAATTCGAACATAGCCATGGATGAAAAGCAAGAAACCAATGCAGAAAGGTAAATAACATTTCTGAACCTATACTTTCTTTAAATTTCTTTGAATTTGCAATTATTCGTTTGTAGTTGTTATAATTTGTTAAAATTTCATTCGTAGTTTTTGTAAATTGTGTATAATTTCTGAACAATTTTCACTTTTTAGGGACCCAAATTCTTCTAATAGTGATGAAGATAAGTTGTAAGTAAATTAAAACCCTATATAATTGTTGAATTTTGAAATTAAATGACGAATTGAAACCCTAAGTTATTTGAACATGACAATTTCTCAAATCCGAAACAAAAGGAAGAAGAAATTGGATATAACAAGTCAAATTGTTGATCCAAATATTTTAAAAGAGATAGACAAGTAACATTCAGAAAATGGAGAAACCAGGTAAATCATAGGTTCAAATATTTTGTGTTTTTAGTTCATATAATTCGTGATTGTTGTTCAAATGATTTGTGGTTTTAATTCATATAATCTGTAATTACCATTCAAATATTTTGTGGTTTTAGTTCATATGACCCAAACAAAAATAGAAAAATAGATAAGTCAGCAAAGTTGTTTTTTTTATTCAAATCCAAAAATTTGTGTTACTTTATATGTAGGTCATCGACTTGGCCTTTGGCATTTATTTCCTTAATAGTATTTTGTGAATACTGTTCAAAAATTGATATTGTTAATTTTTAAACTAAGAAGCATTTATTTTATAAGTTCAAATATTTTGTGTTTTTAGTTCATATAATTCGTGATTACTGTTCAAATATATTGTGGTTCTAGTTCATATAATTTGTGATTAATGTTCAAATATTTTGTGGTTTTAGTTCATAAAATTTGTTAAAGTTGTATAAATGTTTTATGGTTTTAGTTCATATAATTGTTTGTGATTCCTGTTCAAATTTTGATATTGTTATTTTTTAATCCAAGAAGCATTGTTTTATTACAGCAACCAATCTGAACTTCAACCCAAATCCACCACCCAACACCAATCTAAGAAGCTGAGAATCAAGCTCAAAAGGAGGCTGAGAATCAAGCTAAAAAGGAACTCAAAAGGAGACTGAGAATCAAGCTAAAAAGGAAGCTCAAAAGAAGGCTAAGAAAGAATCTCAAAAGAAGAAGGTTCAGAAGAAGCAAGAAAATGTTCAACAGAGAGGAAGTTCAGAAGAGTGAAATTAAGGAGAAAAAAAAGAAAACGAAGAGATAATGTTGATGATTTCTTTGATGTAGACAATGTTGTGGATCTAAATTATGATCGAAAAAGAAGTAAAAAAACCAGATTAAATAGGGAAGGAGGATTTTATAAAGAAGGAAAAAAAAAGTTAAGATGACGGGATTTGAAGAACAAGGCGAAATTGTGTTTAATTAAGAGAAGAGTGTGTTTAATGCCTGGTTCACATAGGATAGGTGGACCAGGGTCTATGTAAGAATTTGTAATTTAAGGCACTCTTCATTAGGACTTTTGACGGGCTTGGGCCTTCTGAACATGCATGGTGGATGTATAAATAGTTGCATCGTGTATGTTTCATTTAATGACTAAAGGATGCGCCAAAATCTATCTATGCTTGAAGAGCATCTCTAAACACCTATGGTTGGCACAAGCATAATGTAGATCAAGTGATAAGTGTAATTTGCATCCGTTATCATTTTCGTCGTAAGTTATTTACATTTATTCAACCTAGCTACAATCAAAGATCGTTAAATCAGTGATCACCAACATAACAAACATTGAACATAGAATAGTCCCCGTGTCATGCATACTTGAACTTAGCTCTTAATCATCCCACCTAGTAACACATGAAGTTTGAGCATATTTTTTAGTTATATTGTTCCTTGATTGAATAAACGTTATTTCATTTTCTGTAAGATAAACTTCATTATCAAATATTTTTTTGTATCATAGTCATGATCGACATATTTAAAGGTCCTTAATCTTCCTCTGCCTACGTATTATCGTTATAAATTCGCCAATATATGTGAACTTTTATCACATCGGCCATTTGCAACTCTATTCCACTGATAATTCAATTGTGTCGTTTAATAAATTTTAGGCTTCATCGATCATCGTCACAAAATGTCTTCAAACCCAATTTTGGTCATTTATAATTTTGGTGCATGTCGACTACATGTGTGGTCTGCATCTTTTGATGCTTTGATTTCGATCCTGTTCTAAATTTTAACATTGTTATAATATTAGGGGTGTTAACGGGTAGCACCCTACTCGCAAGCTACTTGATACTGGACTCGGTCAAAATCTAATCAAAACTCCACTTGAGTTTGGGTTCATGTCAAGATCTTAACAAACCAAGCCTGGGCTACCCGCTCGGCTAAAAACCTCTGAATAAGCTTGATTTTTTTTAAAAAAAACATTATTAATATCATTATTTCTTCTATCTAAAGCAATTTGTAACTTAAAATGTATTGAAAATTGAGTATTTGAGACCTTAATTTGAGAATAAAGTAATCAAGTAAAATAATATGATGAAATCAAGTACATTTGGGACTAGACTAAACGTTTAATAATCGAGTTCGGTATGAGCTGAGGTCATGATCAGGGTTTTGAGCTGAAGCCGAACTCAATATTTTCTTAGGCTTGACTTCGAGCTCGAGTCGAGACAGTGTCGAGCTCAAATTTTCAAGCTTATGGTTGGAACCTAATATTTATTTATTTATCAATATTGTTATTTTCATCAAATTTCACTTGTTTTAGGAGAAATAAGTTAAGATAGCTCAAAAAAAAAATCACAAATAAAAAATTTACCCAATTAAAATTAGTTATAATAAAGTTTAATAAATTTAGACAAAATAAGATAAGTTAAAATAAGCAAAAATTAGATGAGTGCATCCCTCGTCCCTCTACGATTTTCTAGACTTGTATACCTATGTGATTAGTACTCCGTATTGTTTAAGTGGAATAGGTAAAAGATGGTATTATACAACTTTTATACGTTATCAAATGAATTGAACCAAAAGTACTCGTAAAGTAGAAAGATCAATGAGAAACACGACCAAGAGTAAAGTAAATAATAAACAAATTATATATGTACTACATTTTCTTTGATGTGGTGAGATTTATGAAGGACATTGTCCGAGTTATACGTATACAATGAGACAACAATTTCTAAAGATTCAACCATACAAATTAAATATTGTTTGTCCCTTTCAATGTTATATATTGTTGCGGACATTTCATTAAGATTTTTTTTGGGGGGTAAAGATACATATATAATGCCATAGTAGATTAGTAGATCTTTTTTTTTCTTTAATTACAAAATCTATGCATTTTTCTTTTTTTTTTTTTAAAAAAAAAACAAAACAAAATAGAAAAAATTGTCAAGAATAACATGACCTTTCACCGGTCTTCCAAAAATAAAATAACCTTTTGATTATTTCAGAATAAAACGACCTTTAACATGAATCTTCCATAAATGGAATGTGACCTGTTAGTAACTTGTTTGATAGGTTAAGTGTGACAAGTGTTGCTATATAATTGGCAGTTTTTTTTTTTTTTTTTTTTTTTTACATATTTCTCATTATAAAATAATTATTTTATTTTAAAAAAAAACCCAACCGGCCCCAACCCCATGAACAACCCCCCTTTACCAGTCACCACCACCAACTCCTCCCCTACCCACACCACCACCAACCGTCGCCAGAATTTTCCTCCACAACAATTGACAATCACGCTGACCCCCTCACGAATTCAGCCCCCCTCCGACCACCACGCTGAACCCATCATGAAACCACCCATGGAAGCGAGCGAGGACGGGTTGGTAATTGAATACGGAGAACTAGTAAGGAAGTAGTCAATAGTGGGTAACTCAAGATTTATAATTGCACGACCATTCAAAGGAATCAAAGCTTGCAATAACACATTATTGAATGAAAGTAAGTTGCGAAATCCCAAGGAGGAAGCTGAACAGAAATGGCCAATGGGGACAGAAAAGCTGAACAGGAATGGCCAATGGGGGAGGTGGAATTTAAAGGAAGGTTTTTTTTTTTTTTTTTCCTTACAGAAATTAAGGGTTTTTTTTTTTTTTTTTTATATATTATTTATATATAATTTACAATCATATTAATGTTAAGTTTAAAAAAAATAAAATCCTAACAAATCACAATGCGACACGTGTCATGTTTAACCTATGAAACAGGTTACCGGTTTTTTATTCTATTTAGGGAATATGTAAGTTAAAGGTCGTTTTATTCCGGAATAATTAAAAGGTCGTTTTATTTTTGAAAGACCGGTGAAATGTCGTATTATTTTTGACAAATTTTCCAACAAAATATATGTATTTAGTTCTTAAAAATTGATTTATTATTATTAGGTTAATTGAGGTTTGATATTCCAATCCTTGAAAATTTAGACGGTTTCATGGAGGTACATCTTGATTCGTCCAGAGCGAATATGACTCTGATGATGTTTTTTGATGACCACACGGTTGGAGTTGGTGAAGTCACGAGTTCAAGACTTCTCAACTAATGAGAGATGTTAAGTACGTTTTGTACTCCGTAGGATTTTTATCTTACCAATCCAAAAAGTTTATTTTTTTTAATAGAGAATACAATCAATATATCACACGACTCCTGTTCACTTCAGCTTAATTTTATTTCAGCTCAGTTCCTAATTTCTTTCTGGATTTTTTGTGAAAAACTACCTTTTATATACAACTTTTTGTTAAAAACTACCTTTTAAAAAAAATGTTGTAAATGACTACCTCATTTAAAAAAAATGTTGTAAGGGACTAATACTTGCCGGAATCTGACCGTTGACTCACTTTTCCGGCGTTGACCACCCACGTGTCGGTCACATGACCTTTAATTTTTTTTTTCTTTTTTTCTATGAATGCACCACCAGCATTGTCCTTATTTTCACCACCGCAACACCTCAACCCACCTCAAAACTCCATTACAACCACCCTCAGTCCCTCACGCATCCAAAACCAACCCAACCCCACTTGAAACTGCCTCCATCCCATCGAATCCATGTTACATGTGTATGATGTTCATGGTAACACTTTAGTCAGCCAATAACATAGCAAAACGTATACATATAAGTACACCAGAAAAAGCTAACGGCCAACGGATCAATATGATGGGCCATGCACAATTAACAGTACAAATTTACAAAATTTTCGATCAATTGTGGTCCTTTTTTCTTTACATTACTCTAGAGCTTTTCATCGTCGTAAGCATGGGCGGAGCTAGAAGGGGACATGTGGGGACACTTGTCCCCCCATTTTCAAAAAAAAAAAAATTAAAAAAAAAAAAAAATTTAAAAAAAAAAATGCAATTACAGTGCTCTGTTGCGACATTTGCCAGCCAAACCCTAAGTTTTTCAATTTTCAATTTCTCTCTCTTCGATTCGCCCTCGCCTGTCGCCTAGCCGGCTCGCCGTGACGCCGTCCACCGTTCGCCGGCAGTTCGCAGCAGTGACGAGGTTCAACAGCCGCCCTTGAGCCTTCGTCCTTCGTGACTTCGTGTCTTCGTGACTTCGTCATATGCATAAGCATAACACATTTGCTGTAAATCTGGATTTCAATGGAGGTATGAATCAATGAATGTATGATTAATTGAATAATTGATTACTTGTTTTGTTGTTTAAATGTTTAATTGTTTAAATTTACAGTAAATCTGAAATTCTGAATTTCATATTTTTATTACTTGTTTAAATGTTTAATTGTTTAATTGTTTATATTTTTATTGTGAATTTGTCATTTGTGGCCTTGTGGGTATTGATTATTGAATAATTTGAATTGATAAATGATTATTGATTTATATTTGTTTGATTGTTTCCCCTGTTAGAGTTTTTGGTTGTTTTTGTGAAATGTGAATTTAAATTATTAATTATTGTAAATTATTGAAATGTTTAGTTGAATTAGAAATTTAAAATCTTAGCCTCTTAGGTTTTGTTATTATGTAATGATGTGGATTGTGGTCTTGTGGAAATTGATATATAATTTTCGATTTAATTAGAAAATGTCAAACGATTCACCAAATTCAAACAAATCAAAGGCAACTAAACAACCCGATCTTCGACAATTCTTGTTTAAAAGAACGAAACTCAATGAAAATGAGTCCAATGAAAATGAGTCCAATAACTCACCTTCATTTAGCTCCCCTCAAAGTCAAGAAAATAGTATGGAAATGGGTGGTTCAAGTAATAGTAATGTACCATTAGAGGAAGATTCGGTGTACGATGTTGAACTTCTTCCTCATGATCCGGGAAAAAGAATAAACATTATGGCAACGGCAATTCATTTGCTTATCAAGTTGATGTTGATTCTTCCCGTTGCCACGGCAAGTGTTGAAAGAGTGTTTTCTGCAATGACATGTGTCAAAAACAAGTTGCGAAATAGCATGGGTGATCAACTTATGAATGATTGTTTGGTCACTTTTATTGAGAAGGATGTCTTCTTACGAGTTTCCGACGAAAAGATTATTGATCGATTTCAAAGTATGAAGACTCGAAGAATGAACTTGTAATTTTAATGTAATGTTTATGTAATTTTTTTCATCATTTTGAATTGTATGACTAAGTATATATTTGTATTTTGAAATTTTAATATTAAGTATTAACCAATTTGTGTGTGAGTTTTTTTTTTGTTTTTATTTTTTGTTAAGCTTTTCGTAAGTTAAGCATTTTGTCCCCCCAAATTGAAAATCCTGGCTCCGCCACTGGTCGTAAGCCATGCAACTGTTCTTACACAGGCGAAGTCCGTAGCTAGCCATTTATCTACCATAAATACTCCCTTTATCTCTTAAAAATTGTTATCGTGTTTTTCTATATTCATTTTCTTTAACATTGTATAGTGGTTCTGGTTACTTTTAATGAATACGTAATCTAGGTGTGTATACGGTAAGAAGTAGGGTATGAGAAATTTTTTGAAAAAACATTACGTACTCCTTGTTTCTTAAATGCTCATAACACTTGAGTGTTCTCATAATTAATACATACTTGGTATAATTAAATAAAAATAATGTACAATTGAGGCTAATAAAAGTATGTTAGAGAACATGATTTTATTCATTTGAATATATATAAACTTATTAGACCTAACTTAAATATTCACAAGCATATTTAGTTATAAACTGAACTTGTATACCCTCATTCGCTGTATTTGAACTTATTTTTCCAACTTATCTAATGAATTTGCGTATTGACAAGCGTGTTATTCAAACTGATGCATCATTTTAGAACAAAGGAAGGAGTATACAAAAAATGGATATTTCAAATTTCAATTCATCTTACGAGCAACTCTTTTGCACATGGAGAGAATAATTGTGGTGATTTTCGAGAATGAAAGTGAAAGTTGAATTTGTAACAAAAATGAACTTAAAACGAGCTTAACAAGTTCCTGCTTGTGAACTACTTTGTAAATCTATAATACTTTTTCCATTCATTTTTAATTGACATACTTTGACTTTAATATTTTCACAAACTTTACTTTAACTAGATTTTATGATTTATAGTTATGATAAAAACATAGAAATGTAGATTCATTTTAGAATTATTTTGATATCACTTACTACTTTTACATATTGATAATTAGATATATTAATTGTAGAATTTAAAATTGACAAACATAATAAAATAACATACCAACTAAAAAATAACAGAAGAAGTATGTAATATACTATTTCCGTTAACTTTTAGTTGCAACTTGGGGTATTATTTGTGAAACATAAAATATTTCAAAGTTACAACTAAAAGTTAACGGAGATAGTACAAAACAATGAAATATGGGAGAGATTTTCCTGGATCAGCCCAAAAAAAGTTTCAGGATTTCTAAGGATACAAGCCAGCTTTAACAAGATTTGATGGGTAGAAGGCTCACAATTTCCTCATCACATCAGTTTAGAATATGCTTGTTCATAGATTGGATCACCATCAATCTTGTAAGAACTATTGGCCCATTGGACTATAGCCTATTATTATCAAATAATCAAATATGACCCATTTTTGGTATTTAAAATTAAAATTTACAAACTTGTGCATAAATGTGCCTACTTCAGTGAAAGCATTTTAAATGAAAAGAGACTGTACAATTTATATGCATCAACATTCAACAACCAAGTTTTGTTAGTCTTTCTGCTCCTTGTGCAGTTTGCACATAACGGCTTAACATCCCACACGGACACCATTTGCGGCGGGTGTTTTGATACTCGCGGTATTATCTCTAGGTATTGTGTGTAGTTAGGGTGCATGATAATTTGAAATCATTGTGTCTTAGATGGTAAGCTGCTCTTTCTTGTTCAAATGCAGAGGGCGAGTATTAAGGGTTAAGGGCCTGTTTTCATACGTTTAATTTCAGTTCAATTCAGCTCCTAATTTCCTTCTCTAATAAAATATTCATTTCATTTCAGTTCAGTTTAGTTCATTTCAGCTCAGCTCGGTTCAGTTCAGTTCATTTCAGTTTGATTGAGTTCGGTCTATGAGAACAGGCCCTAATTCACACTTTTTAATTTTTCTGTATATAAATTATCTTCTCACTTTTTTTTTTTTTGAAAACAAATTATCTTCTCACTTTATATAACACGTGTATGAAAGAATAACCTATTTTAAACACTTGTATAATTTTTTAAACATCTTTGAAATAGTATATATATGTAACTATTATTTTCTAATGATATAAGGTCTTGTTTGCGCTTTAAGTACAGTGTTGTGGTCATTTAGGGAGAATTTGATTCTAAATGCAAAGTGTAGTTAAATGCTCACGTTGGCTATTATTAGTTGAATATTAAGATTCACTACAGACAACGCCTTGCTAGTCCGTATATATGACACTAAAAAAGAGAGTAAGAAAGATCACTTTTTTTTTTTTTTTTTTTTTTTTTTTTTTGGCTTGAATATTTAGATGCCTAACAAATATTATTTTGTACTCGTAATATTTTGTTAATAAGAATATGTAACATTTTCCGAATAAAGTCTGGTTTATTGGGGCATTTTGGGAGTGGAATTTCCGTAAGATTCTCCAGTTCTCCCATCACATTAACGGTGCCTCATATTATATTTTCATAAGCCTGATTTGTATAGTTTGCCTAATCAATTGATTTGTATAAAGATTAGTTATGATGACTATACAAATTAGAGGTTGGGTTGAATCTATGACTTAGTACACAGGCTTCGATTAGGTCAAGGTATCATTGATTTTTTTGGTGTTATAGAGCCATAAGAATGGGGTGATGAAAATCGATTATGAGATTTTCTAAAATTGGGAGAAAAGCTCTAACCACTTACTCTCAGTCAAGACTCGTTTAATATTACTTAATAATTTTATTCTTTATCACTGTATTCTTAAAGTTTATTTAAATTATTATTGTTGTGCATAATTCCCTTTTCAAAATATAAGGCTAAAATAGTAAAACTTAATAAACTTCTTTTTTTTTTTTAAAAAAACAAAAGTAACAATTTTTTTGGCGGAATTTCTTTTTTTACATATATATATTTATATATGAGATGATGACACGTGTACTAGGGATTTTTTTTTTTTGGAAAGTGGAGAACCACTAATCAAACTATGAGAGCTTAGATAACATAAAAAAAAATAAAAAAAACATATATGTCAAAAAATAAAAAATAAAAACCATTACTTTTTCCCTTTTTTATAAAGATGAAAAAAATACATTTAGAAATCTCTTTAAGAGGGAATTTCTAATACGTCGAAATAATCAGACAAAAATGAGTTATTATTATAAAGATTAATATCCATATTTTTATGGACTAAATAAATAATATTTCTCCATTAATTGGTAATAAAAGAATAACGTATGTTCTAATTTACTGAATTGAGCTGAACTTAAATAAACTGATTTGAGTTGAATTGAAATGAACTGAATTGAATAGAGCTGAAATGAATTGTTTATGAGAGAAGAAAATTAGGAATTGAACTAAACTGAAATTAAGCTGAAGAGAACAGGTCTTCACTCGTATTAACCATCCCATTTGCTGCTGAACAATTATTTTAGCAAGACTATTTAATTCGGAGTAATACAATTTGTAATTACATACCATTGTTATTATATGCTTTAAAAATTTAATGGGAGATAAGATAGCTCTTATAAATAGTGTATGGGCAATTATACCATCTAACATGCTTATTTACTTATTGTGCCTATTACGGAGTAATTTTAAATGTGACATTTTTTTAAAAGGAAAATGTTATACATAGCCCTTAAGGCTACGTATAAGCATTAAATTTACACTTGAAAATCGTAAAAAGTTGAGAAATCATCATAATATAAACACTAATAACACTGATTTACGCGTGTTTTTGTCATGAATTTCTAATTTTATATAAATTTCAAGAGTATATTTAATGCTTATATATAGCCCTTCGGGCTACATATAACATTACCCTTTTTTTAACTCATAATTAAGACTATTGTACAACTATTTATACTCTTACAAATATTTGTTTACATACTTACCCTTATTAATGATGTGAGTAACTAAAGTTGTGACATAATGTCAAGCTGAAGGAGCTCCGTCCCAAATATGACTAATTAATTATGGCATTGATTGTGTGCATTAGTCACCCTATTACATTAGGGTGTGTTATTATCACCTTATTACACCTGAATATATTTGAACTTATCTAAACAGAACTTATTTGAACTAATCTGGACTTATTAGACCTTATTTAACTTATTATACCTTATTGAACTCATTGAGACTTAATAGGGCCTGTTTTATTTACCACATTTTCACTTATTTTATGTTTAATAAGCTCAGTTAAGTTTGGTTCAAAAAAAAATTGTTCTGATAAAAGTGATAAGGGGTTAACTAAGTTCAATTAACAAGTAAAATAAGTTTTAACAAGGTTAGATAAGTTCACTTAAGTTCAGCTAATAACACACCCTTAGACATGATTTAACTTATTATAATAATAATAATTATTATTATTATTATTATTATTATTATTATTATTATTAAAGTAATATACATACCCTCAAAAAATAATAAAATAATGCACATAAAAAATAAATTGTAATACTGAAATAAATACGAAATATAATGGTATTATTAATATGATATATAATATATCATGATTTTTATTAAAATAATTGTATTTAATATAACTATATTATATCTTGTTAGAACATATATTGAAGCTTATTAGACCTTATTTAACTTATTGAAACTTATTAGACCTTATTGAATTTGTTAAAACTTATTAATTAACTTATTAGATATTATTGTAACTTATCTGAACTGATTTGAACTTATCTAAACTTATTAAAACTGAAATTTATTTTTACAAGATGAAGAGAATATGTCCTTAAAGTTAGAATCCTAAAACTCTCAAAATAAGCTAAGCAATAAATAAAATTTTGTAAAAGAAAGTTAAAAAAAAGTGTCCGAATAATATCTACTCCATTGCATAAAATTCATAGCCGAATTATGTCCACCCAATTTATCAATAAAAGTGGTCCTTTCATGTTATTCTCTTTTTCTTTCTTGGTTAATTTTCAACATGTGTAAAATGTTTAAAGAACGACGTACGTTTCATGGTTGTTGAAACGTTTACCCCAAAAAATATCTTGACATT